GGTGCCTATGTCCCATGATGCAGCAGAGGATGTCAGCGGCGCCCTCTGCTGGTCAGGGATCCCCAAGGCCTGGTCATGCAGAGGGACCTGCAGTGGAGCTGACTGCCAAGGAGAGAAGGGGGCCAGGCACCCTCCCCACACACCCAGTCACTGCCGAAGGGTTGTGAGCACTGAAGGACTGGACAAGAGGCCCAAGATGCACAAATGAATGTGTCTGTTTGTGAATCTGGGGTGAGGGTACTATAGGCTGAAGACAATGACCTGGGGTAACAGGAGGCTAAGCTGCAACTTCAGAACAAGGAATTCCACAGGATGGGGAAGAAATTCTGCTATGAGACCTCAGACCAAAATGAGGAAATTCCTGGCGGCACCTGCAACTCAGTGGGTAGGGTACCTGCCACATACCCCGTGCCTGATGGGTTTGAACCCTGCCTGGACATGCTAAAACAACAATAACAACAACAGCAAAATAGCTTGGGGTTGTGGCAGCACCTGTAATCCCAGCTACTTGGGAGGCTGAGGCAAGAGACTAGCTTAAGCTGAAGAGTTTGAGGTTGCTGTGAGCTGTAACACTACGGCACTCTACTCAGGGCAATAGCTTGAGACTCTGTCTCAAAAAAAAAAAAAAAGAAAAAGAAAAAGAAAAAACAATATGAGGAAATTCCAAAGGAACTTATTAAGAACAGTTTGGGGGATTGCCAGGGTTTGGGGCTGGGGAGGTGGCAACTAGAGGTTTCCTGCTTGGGTGATGAAAATGTTTGGGAAGTTGATATAGGCAGTGTTGGCACATTGTGACTGTACCAAATGGCACTGAATTATACATTTTAATGGTGAATTTTATGGTATGCAAATTTTATCTGTGTAAATTAAGGAAAAAAGAGGATTTTGATGGCTCTAAAACTGACAAGGATCATATGAAGGGCTAGAGAGCAACAATGCTGAGGGATTCTAATAGGGAGAGTTGCTGCTGTGCTGTTAGCCCTAAAGACCCTGGGGCACAGGGCGGTACTGACTTTAACCCTGGCTCACTGCAGGAAAGGCTGTGAGGACACTTCTAGTGTGTTACTTCTAGTCCTCATGGTCTGAGACTTTGGCAGAGGTAGGATGTTGCCAGGAGTGTGTGTGTCTGTGTTAGAGAGGAAGAGAGAGGTATTGGTGAAGGGAAAAGGAAGGAAGG